CTTCAGCTCAAGGTGAGCGCTCTACCACTTGAGCTACAGCGCCACTTCCGGTTTTCTGGTGGTTTATTGGAGATAGGAGTCTCACGGTCTTTCCTGCCCGGGCTGGCTTTGAACCGCGATCCTCAGATCTCAGCCTCCTGAGTAGCTAGGATTACAGGTGTGAGCCACCAGCGCCCGGCCTGACTCTTTTCTTGCCCATGAATTCTGAACTGGGAGCTCTGGGGTCTGATGGGTACAGGCAGAGCTCCGGGGTGGGGGTGCGTTGGGACACCAGCACCCTCCCTCCATCATTGGGCCAAGCCATCATTATCTTTAATTCTCTGCCCTGGTTGGGAGAGGAAGTGGCAGGGAATTTCCTTCCTTCCTTCCTCCCTTCTTCCCTTCCTCCCTCTCTTTCTCTCTTTCCTTCTTTCTTTCTTTCTTTTCTTTCTTTCTTCCTTTCTTTCTCTTTCCCTTTCCCTTCAGAAATCAAAGTAAAGCATACTTTGCTTGGAAGGCAAATTGGAGTCTAGAAAATTGAAATTTTTCAAAAGTTGTTTTTTGCAGCCAAGTTAGATTGTAAGCTCTTTGCCCAGAGTGGACAGCTCTTTCTGGAACAAAGGTGATGATCCTTACCTACTGACAAGACCCCCGACCATCCCCTCTTCCTCTCAGCACTCCACTGACAAGCAACTCAGAGCCCTCAAATGACTAAGCAGTGACATGCCTTTGCCTATTCTGTTCCTTTTCCCCACATTTTCCACCTATCATTCCTCCTGAAAGCTTTGTTGTCTTTTTCCCCCACTCACCCGGGACCTTGAGCACCTGTCTTTAGAGCCCAGGTGGGGTCGAGACTGGCCCTCCATTAGCAATGGGCTGCTTCCTAATTCTGAGGGAAAGCTTTCTCCGAATGCAGCTTTATCAGGATTCCCATGTGTTCCTGCATCCAGACTCGGGCTCCTCCCCTAGCCTGGAGCACTCACTGTAAGAGTAGGTTTTATGCTTCTCTTTAACTATCAGCTTCTGTTTAAATTGCAGTTGTACACACTTAGTACAAAAAGCAACAGGTCAGAGCAACTGCAGAGTATCAGTTGGGTCCTGCAGAATTCCAGGTGGAAGCCATTGATCTTGGGGAGTGCTGTTGGTAAGGTGTTGGCATACAAGGGTTCTCAGCTGAAGCCTATTTCTGCCTTGGGAGCTTTGGTGAAGGCATCAGTTTGGCCACTGTGACAAAGGTCAGAAGAGCAGTGACTTCAGCAAGAGTAAGGGAACGTTAATGTTTCATGCGTAAGAACTCATGCAGCCAGAGCAGGGCTTGGAGGCAGCTCCTGACTGTTAAGGACCAAGGCTGCTATGGCATGTTGCTCTGCTTCTGTCCCAGGGTTTAAGATGGATGCCCTACTGTCTCCCATTCCAACAAGGAAGGTAGAGAGACCTGACGAGTGGGCCCACTCTGAAGCAAGGAGCCAGCCCTTGTTTATGTTCCAAAGCATCTGCTACCAGGGAGCCTGGACCAGGACCAGTGGAGTTCTTAGGGAATGAGTACTCAGGACAGCTAGCAATGCCATAGCAGTTCAAGTACCTCGGCCTGCCACTGGACCCACTACCTACTAATTCTGGTACAAACTCTGTGCCAGACATTGTGTTCAGCTGGTCCTTCCTGCTTCTCCCTTAGGATCTACAGAGCAGCTGCCTGTGGTGGACAGGGATCCTGCAGTAGTAGGGATATTTTGGCTTGAGCATGAGGTGAGAGGCCAGCAGTGGGTTTGCTGAGTGGTGACGAATGGTGTCCCCCAGATACCCACCTGTGCTGGAGGCCTAGCACAGTGACCTGTGGGCGTTGGCTAGGACAGGGCTGGGACCTCTTTTCTGTGCTGAGGGCTCCGGAGTCATTGTGCATCTCTCTGTTCCAGCCTTGTGCTGGGCTTGCTGACCCACTGTGCTCTCCATGTTCTCCAGGAGCTTTGCTTTCCATTCTTCCTCCTGTTCCCTCGGCCTGCTGTGTCCTTTGCTGTGTTTACCAGCCTAGCTCTGCTCTTCATCTAAGGCCCAGGTGTGTCCCACTGGGTGCCTGTTCCCCTCTAGGGATGTACTGGCTTGAGTCCATGGCCCAGATGGCAATATGGTTGCTTTATCCGTCGGTACAGAGACTGGGTAATGCGCCCTATCCTGCAGTGGGAATGAGTAGCAGGAGCCCAATCTTTGCTCATTCCTCCTGGGTCCTGAATTCTGTTCTGAGTAGAGACCTCTAGATACAGGTGGAGGATCTTGTAGCAGGGAGGCAGGAGAGTGAAAGCATGGGAGGAGATGGGGGAATCCTCAGTTCAAGGAGAAGTGCCCCCCAAAAGGCTAAGGCTTAAGTCACTGGGCCTGAGTCATGCAGTGAGAAACAGATTTAAACCGAGGACTCAGAGCTGCATTCTCTGTTTTCTTAATTTTAATTTTTGGTGCCAGTTCCAGGACTTGAACTAAGGACTCACACTCTTTTTTTGGGGGGGGGTTTGGTCATGGGGCTTGAACTCTGGCCCTGGGCACTGTCCCTCATCTCTTTAACTCAAGGCAAACACTCTACCCACTTGAGCCACAGCATCACTTCCGGTTTTCTGGTGGTTAATTGGAGATTAGAGTCTAACAGACTTTCCTGTCCGGGCTGGCTTTGAACTGGAATCCTCAGATCTCAGCCTCCTTAGTAGCTAGGATTAAGTGTGAGCCACTGGCACCTGGCATGGCCAAACACTCTTGCTTAACTTTTTTGCTCAAGGCTAGTGCTCTACCACTTGAGCTCCACTTCCAGCTTTTTGGTCGTTAGTTGGAGATGTGTCTCATGAACTTTCCTTTCCAGGTTGGCTTTGAACCGTGATCCTCAGATTTCAGCCTCCTGAGTAGTTAGGATTACAGGCATGAGCCAATGGCACTCAGCTCTATATAGGTGTTTTGGTGGTTCTATCTTTATAGGTGATGATCTGTGTCTGTCTGTCCTCTCTAGATATTGCCACATTGTCCTGTAGTGTTGAACATTGCTGTGGCTGCTGATTTTCTCTCCATGTATATAGAATTTGCTCTTTTTTTTTTTTTTTTTTTTTGCTCAGCAGTCTACCTTGGCCCTGTTCTGGGGCTGGTTGGCCCTTCCCAAGATTGCAGATCTCATCTCGAAGACTTTTTTTTTGAGTGGTCATGGAGCTTGAACTCAAGGCCTGGGTACTGTCCCTAAACTTTCTTGAACAAGGCTAGCACTGTACCACTTGAGCCACAGTGCCACTTGCAGTTTTCTGGTGGTTAGTTGGGAATAAGAGTTGCATGTACTTTCTTGCCTGCACTGGCTTTGAACGGTGATCTTCAGATCTCAGCTTCCTGAGTAGCTAGGATTACAGGCATGAGCCACTGGTATCCAGCTAAGAAATTATTTTAGCTTCACAGGAAATTGAGCCGTTCTGAGGCACCTGGGCCTGGCATTTGGGGTGAACTGATGAAGAGACATAGGAAGGACTCCTGTAGTGCTTGTCTTTGGTAACTCCTCAGTGATTACTGTTTGAATTAATTGTAAATTGCATGTACAACAGGCAAAGCTGTTCTCCCCTGTGGGACTAGATTCTTAAATCCAGATAAAGGCGAAGTCCATTTTTACTACTAGTTCCAGCTGAGGTCTCTCCTGCACCCCAGCAGTAATTGTTCCCATGGGTTAGAGACATATCCTTCTAGACCTTTTAAAAAGGCTTTATACTATATTATAATTATGTTCTGTCCACCACAGGATTACAGACCACACACTGGTGCATGAACTGTTCTGGGTTCATTTATAGAAGAACTGCTCCTAAAGTGAGCTTGTATTGCAAACTAACAAGTCAATGTAGACATTCACAAGGTGGTAACTACTTTATGTAATGAATATACTCTTAAAAGTGAAAAACAAAGCAAAAACACTTCCACACACATTCTGAGACATCAGGTGTGTTTAGTTTTGACTTTTAGACAGAAAGACAGCGTGTGTTCAGGTCACCTGACGCAGACCACAGAGAAGCACAGCTCGCTGCCCCCCTCTTCAAGTTCGTCATGGTGGGTTTGGTGTGGGTTTTACTGGTTACTGTGTCTTATCCCAGGAAAGCTTTATTGTCTCCTTTCGGATCTTGAACTCTCTCCTCTGACTGTAAGAGGTTCCCCACGTAGACCCCCCTTAGACAAGGTTCTAGAAGGGCCCTGAAGGCCCTGAAGCATTGGTGCAAGGGTCCCGAGGTCTTGGTGTGGGGGTCCCGAGGCCCTTGGTGCGTGGTCCTGAGGTCTTGGTGTGGAGGTTCCGAGGCCCTTGGTGTGGGGGTCCAGAGGCCCTTGGTGCAGGGGTCCTGAGGTCTTAATGCAGGGGTCCCGAGACCCTGGTGCTGTCCCCTGCACAGACCATACCTGACTCCCTCTTTCTTGCAGATGACATGGCAGAACTCCTCCTGGGGGAGGCGAAGCTGGAGCAGCACCTGAAGGGGCACCCCCTGCGGCAGGGGGCCAGTCCCCGAGGCCCCAGGCCCCAGCTGACTGAGGTCCGCAAGCACCTGACGGCAGCCCTGGACCGGGGGAACCTCAAGGTATTGTGGGCCTCTGGGATGAGCGGGGACTCCGGGGCGTGCTGGTGTCATCTCTGGACAGTGTGTGGCTGGAAGGAGCTCAGGGAGGATCCTCTAGGCTGGCTGACCACCTGAGGGGCTGAAGCCCAAAGGGGTCTTGGTGAGTCTTAGTGACATCCTCCTGAGCCAGGGCACTGCTCTCCACGGATGCTCCAGAGGCCCCTCAGAGCTCAGCTCGATGCTTTACCCTGCTCTGGGAAGGAAGGAAGTCAATCAGGAGGTTATTAATGTACAATTTCCTGCCTCAGTCATGTTGCTGACCAATGGCTGCTGTGGTCCAGAGCTGGTGCCAGCAGACCTGGCACCTCTTCAGTGTGGTGGGAATCAGGAACTTCCCCAGGGTCCTCATCTCCTGGTCCTGGCATCTCAGGAGCTGCCCTTCTGCTTACCTGCTCTGTTTTCTGTCTCCTTGTGTGTTACTTCTTCCTCGTGGTGACCCTACCCCTCAGTGTCCACCTCTGCTTCACTTAGCCCACTCGTTCGTGCTCTGGCCACTTCATCCTATCCCCTGGATGCTTCCACTGCACTTCCTGCTCTCTGAGGTCACTTTCACTGAGATGGCCGCCAGCATGCCAGCCCTTCTGGCTCATCTTGTGCAAGGCTCCCTCGCTCCCAGTATGAGTTTTCCCCAGAGGACAGGCAGTCAGTCTGTGGTTGGAGCTCTGGCTTCTTTTCCTTTCAGTTGATGACTTGCTGCTGTTTGTCTTCTCTTCCTGTCTTCCAGGCCTCTGGGGCTACTTCTCTGGCCTTCACTCTTCTCTGACTGCACGCTTCCCCTCCTCCCCCCTGAAAGCCAAATTTTCTTGGGCTTTACCTTCTGCATCTGTACTACAAATGTGTGTCTGCTTCCAGCTTGCCATGTCATGCTAGGGGGTTCAGTTTCTGTGGGTTTGAAAGGAGTGAGGTGTACCTGACCCTCCCAGCTTCTATGTGCTCCAAGCGGGGAGATTTCATTGGAGGTGTTCTCTCTTTGTCGTTGGGACTCCTCATTGTGTTACAGTTGAGGTCATGGTTCAGTCAGGGAGCACTTGAGCATGTAAGCTCTTCTTAACCGAGGTGCTCTGCCTGACCCTGGTGGTGGCTGTTGATCAGCAGGAGAGGGGGCGATGGGTCCAAGGTCCATAGGACACAGGGACTGCCAGGCACCACCGAATGTTTTGCTAGGAGGTGTGAGGCAGTACCTGCATGTTAAGGAGAGCCCTCTTGCTCATCTATTTCTCACTCCTAAACTCCTACTTTCATCTTGAAAAATGAGCCAGTTGTTTCACCAGTCATTGGGGGGGGGGTCTGGTCGTGGGGCCTGAACTCTGGGCCTGGGCACTGTCCCTCAGCTCTTTAGTTCAGGGCTAGCGCTCTACCACTTGAGCCACAGCGCCACTTCCAGCTTTTTTCTTTTTGCTTATGTGGTGCTGAGGAATTGAATCCAGGGCCTTGAGCATGCAAGGCAAGCACGCTACCACTGAGCCACCTTCTCAGCCTCTGGGCCTCATCCTTTACCAACAAGATGTTGGCAGTATAAACATTGCATTTTAAGGTAAATCCCACAGTTTGAGTCCCAGTGCTGGATGTGAGAGCTGCGTTGTGTTGGGAAGTTACCAACCTCTTTGAACTCCCTGTTTCTAAGTTGGGTATCTCCTATGTTCAGGATTGCTCTGAGGCTCAAATGTAGATGTTCTTTAAAACTGTGTCACCCTAGCGAGGTTATTGACTGGTATGTCATTGTATCTACCTAAGAATTTCTCTCTTATTGCTTTTTTTTTTTTTTTGGTGCCTGTCCTAGGTACTGCCCCTGAGCTTGTTTTTGCTCAAGGCTAGCACACTACCACTTTGAGCCACAGTTGCCTATTTCATTGGAGATAAGAGTTTCAGGAACTTTCCTGCTGGGGCTGGCTCTGAACTGCGATCCTCAGATCTCAGCCTTCTGAGTAGCTAGGATTACAGAAGTGAGCCATTGACACCTGGCTTCCACTTGCTGTTTTTTGGCTTCTTCTACCTTATGCAGGATGTTCCAGAGTTGCACAGCTTTTGCCTGAATGTTGCCCTAGTCACCCTGGCCAGTGTGAAACTTCCTCATTCTCTGACCTTCAGCCAGCATGTTTCAAGTGACCCGAGGCTTGGTGATTGAAAGAGCATTGGAATAGGAGATGGAGAACTTGGCTTTCTGATTTAAGACAAGAAAATTGTGCTTGTCTGGAGCCAGGCAGCCTCTGTCTCTCACCACTCAGCAGTGGAGTGGCCTTGGCCTTGGCTCCGCTGCTTCCGCTCTGTACAATGCCTTGTCTGGACTCACCCAGGGAGGCCTCCCAGGTGGCCATCCTGTGTCTCTGGACTTGTAATTTCCTCCAATCTGAACGTCCATCTGCTCCTTCAATTTCCTTTTCCCTTTCTTTTTTTTTAACAACTGATTTATTGAATTGAAATGGTTTTGTACAGCTACTAAAAGAGAATTTAAAGAAAAAAAAGAACTTTTTTGTGGTAAAATACACGTAACAGAATTGTTTAGCATCTTAACCATTTTGCAGTACACCGTTCGGTGGCTTGATGTCTTAGATGTTCATCTCCAGAAATCTTTCCTCTCCCCACACCACTGTGCAGCACTGGCTGCTGTGCTGCGCTCTGCCTGGTCACGGCTTCAGGTGGGCACTGAGAGAATTCGCCTTGGTTGCTTGCTTAAAGGAGAAAGGTATAGGAGAAGGTGATGCGTCTCTTTCTTCACCTCGCTGGCTCAGTGTCTCTTCTCTCCCCAGCAGATGAGGTATGGGAGAGGAAGGGCAGAGGTCAAAGCCGGGGGGCTGGTTTGGGGGAGCCCCAGGGAGGGACCTGGAGGTAAGTAGCTTCACAGGCTGGAATGGCTGTGGGAAAGATTTGCCCCTGGAAAGCAAACAAGCTGTGGCTCTCCACCCATCTGGAAAGCTTCTCCTGGGGTTGTTGGGTTCCAGCCCCAGGGCTTTGGCAAGATCCTTCCTTCCCCTCCCCTTTCCCCCACCTCAGCAGAGCGTATTTATCTTTCCTCATTCCTATGTTGTGCTCTGATGCTCATGTTCTACTGATGCTCATTTTCCACTGATGCTCATGTTGTACTGCGGAAGCATTCCTTCTGTTCTGTGTCCAGCCCAGTCCAGGAACCTGAGGGGAGCTGCAGGGGTTGGTTGGTTGGTTGGTTTTGTTTTCTTTTTCTTTTCTTATTTATTTATTTATTTTGGATCCGGTCGTGGGGCCTGAACTCTGGGCCTAGGCACTGTCTTTCAGCTCTTCAGCTCACGGCTAGCGCTCTATCACTTGAGCCACAGCGCCACTTCTGGCTTTTTTTCTTTTTGCTTATGTGGTGCTGAGGAATCGAACCCAGGGCCTCATGCATGCAAGGCAAGTGCTCTACCACTGAGCCACCTTCCCAGCCCCTTGTTTTGTTTTCCTACACAGTTTTATTTAGGTAGAAGTGACCAGCCATGCAATTCATCCATGTAAGTTATAGAGTTCCGTGGCTTCAGTGTGTACAAGAAATTGTGCAGTCATGACTGTGATGAATTCTTGGACAAACAATAATCAAATGTGGTACCATTAGCAGCCATAGGCATACACTAAATTTCTTTTTGACTCTACAGATTTGATAATTGGTATTTCATGGAAATTGGGTCATATGTGGCCTTCTCACTGAGTATAATGATTGGGAGGTTTCTTTTATGTGTCACTACTTCACTTTTATTATGACTGGGTAATACTCCATGTTAGGGCTCTTCCATTTTGGTGGACATTGGGTTGTTTGCATTTTCTGGCTGTTGTGACAACACTGCTATGAACACTGCACAAGTTGTCCTTTGGGGAGCTGTGGGGTTTTACCTCACCAGATGGCTGGGCCGCGAGGGGGCAGCACATGTAGTACTATATGAACATTGTTTTCTTTGTCTTTTTTTGTTTTCTTTCTAGTCAGAATTCCTACAAGAATCCAATCTGATCATGGCCAAGTTGAATTATGTGGAAGGTGATTTTAAGGAAGCTCTGAACATCTATGCCCGGGTGGGCCTCGATGACTTGGCGCTGACCGCCGTCCCTCCATACAGGCTGCGGATGATTGCCGAAGCCTACGCTACCAAAGGTGAGCCTGCGTGCTTTGCCTTCTACGCATGCTCCTTGGGGCTGGCACAACATCCCGTGGCTGACTCCCGTGCCCTTGGCTTGGTGGTGGACTTGGGTATTTCCAGACCAGCTGCCTGGGTCGGCCCATTGCACATATTGGCTAATTTTTAGCCTAGCAACACATTGTTTCCTCAGAGCCTCAGCGTTGCAGTTACCACTGGAGTGAACCAAGGGCAATTATTTTGGTGAGGTTTCTTGAGAATTAAGTGTGCATCCGGAGCAGGGCTTATTCTTGGCCTTGCAAGTTACTACACAGCATATCCAGGGACTTATATAGTCAACTGGCCACAAGATGGATCATCGTTTTATTCACTGACGCCCCTTAGGTTAACAAAGGCCGTTGGGTTGTTCCATGACAATCATGGTACTAGTCAGTCCTCCTTGGTTAACTGGGTTCCTGTTCACGGGACAGAAGAAAGTGTACATCCCTAGGGCCATGGAAGTGCTCGTCAGGCTGTGTGAGAGGAAAGGTGTGGCGTGTGCATTGTGTGGCACATCTTATTGCCAGCCCCTCCTCTGGAGCGGGTACAATCATAGCCACTTCACAGAGTTACGTATGTGGAGCCCTTCACACCGTACTGCACATACCCAGCGCTCAGGAAGTGGGAGCTTCAAGCAAGGCAGCCGGTGGTGAACGCCAGCGATGGTGACACCTTCCCAGGGGCAAGAAAAGCATGTGTAGACTTCCAGGATGAGGGGCGCTTGGGACTGGACATCTTGAGACCTCAGGAAGTGAACAGCCAGAAGCAGTTTCTCTACTGCCTGCCACCGGCTGTGCACTCCTTGCATTGTGGCTGCCCATAGCTGCCTAGGGTCCAGGGTCCCTGGGTAGCCCCATTGTCCAGGTCAGCAGGCTGCCCATGTGCAGTAACGGCTTGAGGTGGCCCAGCCTGTCTGATCGACTATCAGTACTGAACAAGAGGCCTGGCCAAGGTGCACTTCTTAAAGGTTTGGTGACAGGCTTGATGGGTTTACCCAGTTCCCTGGGGATCCTCAAGGACTGCCAGGTTCATCTAATTAATCTTTAAATGCCCCTGTGGGCTAGGAAAAGATGCCATCGCTCTTGACAGGCCCTTCAGGCAGGTTAGTGGGCTGTCCCTGGGGTTCTGGGAGCATCTGCCTCTGTTTGTGTCTGAGATGTGGGGTGTGCTGGAGGCTCAGGCTCAGACACAGCTGTCCTCCTCTCTCTTTCTCTGGTGTTCCCAGCCTCCCACAGACTGTAGGGATGTGTGTGTGTGTATGTGTGTGTGTGTGTGTGTGTGTGTGTGTGTGTGTGTGTGTATGTACTCGTGCATGTGTGTTGTTTGGGAAATATTCTGGAATGAGAGCAAAGCTTCATTGGTTAATTTCTAGTCACCCTGTTGACCTGGGGCATGCTGGATATGGCAGGAGATGATTTGTTGAGCGGCGGGGGGACGGGGACGGCTGTGTCCCTGTGTAGCACTGGAGCGCAGGTCTAAATACCAGTCTTAAGATGGCAGAATGGAGGAAGACTCTACAGCTGGTGCTGCTGGCTCAGTTTCATGGCTACCATGAAAGATGGGCAAGAAGGACAAGAGACTTGGCCCCTGAGTTTGTCCCTCATGATAGGTGGTTAGCATCAGGCTCCTGCCACAAGTATGCATTTGGCTCACTTGCTGTTCCCAGGATGTGGCAACCATGTCATTGTGGTAAAGGTTCCTGGATGTTAGTCTAGTGTTCTGGGAGCCATTACTTCTAGCCTGCTATGGTCAGGTACGTTTGCTGTGTGTTTATGTGATGCACTGAGCCCTTGTCCCTCACTCAGCCTCTCGTTCTCACATCTATGGGGCCATAGAGGGGCCAGCTGATATAGCGCCTTCATATTCTCCACAGATATTCTCTTTTTCCCAGAGAATATTCATGAGGGTGCTGCTAATGCCCCCTTTCCCTTCTCCCCTCTTAAACCTAAGTAGAGAAACTGAGGATGGGAGTGGAAGATCTGGGGAACCTGTAGCGGCTGCCATATTAGGTCAGTCAAGAGTGGAGAACTTGGCTCTGGGACAGAGGTGGAGGGCAAGACAGCCAGTAGCCACAGACATTCTTCTCCCATGGAAAGAACTGGAACAATAAGACGATGACCATTGTCCGTACTGGACTTAGATATGCAGGACATGGGCGTAGCTGGAAGCTGTGTGCCTTCCTGAGATGGTCTCTCTAAATAGCCTCGATATAAGCCTCACAGTGATAAAGGGACCCAAATCCATCCACCAGGTGAAGCTGGCAGGGCAGCTCCGCCCCCCGCGGGCACTTCCTCCACCAATCCCCAGGCCTCAGTTCTCATCAGCAGCTGGCAACTGGGGCGCGCACTGCAGCCCATGCCAGGGGAAAAGAAGCCATGCAGGACAAGTGGGAGCAGCGCGTGTCAGGTCTGCTCACGGTTCTCCAGTGAGATGGACTTACAAGACTGTAGCCACCAGACACCTGCAGGGAGGAGTGAGAGACTGCAGGACACGTCAGCCGCTGGGCAGGGATGGGCATCAGGGCTTTGTCTCTGATCCAGTTGGAACTGTTGGAGGATGCCAGGACAGAGGTCAGCAGCACATGGGTGGGAAAGAGGCATGCAGGGCCACAGGAAGAGGGCGGTGGGAACCCGGAGAGAGCAGGTACTAAGCTTGCTGCCCAGGTTGCTCCAGAAAGTAAATGAAGGAGACATGAGCATCTCTTGTACAAATGCTCTCTCTTCCAGGGTGGAAGACTGTTCTAGAAGGGGGAAGGAACTGGGCCAGGGAGCCAGGGGCAGGGCAGGATGAGAGGTTGTAGACAAGTGGAGAGGCAGGTTCTTGTAGGAAACTCTTCTGCCAGGCTCCATGGCTTTGGTGAGCAGGTGAATGGGGTGACAGTCCTGTCTGCACCGTAGTGTTTCCCGTCATCGTGGGGAACGAGTGCATTCCCAGCACTTAGCACAGTGCCTGGCACATCACAAGCACTCACTTTTCCTTATGCCTTTGGGGCTGAGCCTAAGTAGAGGCGCCTTTCAGACTCCCCCGGGCATCTCCAGTTGTGGGGTAGGGGAGGTGCTGGCTTTCTTCCGTGAGCATGTCGAGGCAGGGGACCTGCCTTTCCCATGCAGAGCTTGGCATCATTGAGTTGGAGGGAATTTTTTTAGGGGAGCATCACCTGGAGACTGCAGACTGGAGGGGCTCCTTAGGGAAGAGAGAAAGAACGCTCTTGATGTTGGAGTATGGGCATATCCAATGTTGAGGGTGCTGGGAGGCATTCTCCTAGGAGGATGTTGGCAGGCGGGGCTTGGCCATGTGTCCTGGTCCTTACCAGCCTTGCCCAGATGCGATCTGGTAAGATTTGAGGTCTTTTGAGTTGGGCCTTGGGTAACTGCCATAGTGAGCTGCCTGCTGAGGCCCTGGCTGCTGGGAAGGACGCTCAGAGGAGGAGAAGCCATCGGTGGGCCAGGCCCCAGGGAAGAGGGCTTGTATCTGCTGCCCAGGCTTCCCCTACCAGCCAGGAGCCTGGCCTGACCTCCTGTGCTTCTCAGAACCATGTGTACATGGGGCCAGCAGTGAGGGGGTGGTGATGAATTCTGAACTGCTCCCCTTGGAGAATCGCCCATCTCAATGCATAGAACTGACCACTTACTGCCCCTTGTGTGTGTCTGGCTGTGCTCAGAGAAGGGATGGAGGGAGAGGGCTGCCCTCCACACCGGGCGCTCAGATGAGGCACTTCTCTTTAAACAGAGGACCCACCTCTCAAAGCATGTGCAGCTTAGCTTTGTGTCTCCACATACCTACAGGCCTAAGCTGAGCATGCTCGGTCTTTAGGCCAGGAGACCTGAAGCATCGGCCACAGAATGTTTTGGGAAGAGACCCTCTGGGAATGGTGCCCTGATTTCTACCAGGGCAAAGTATGTATGCACCAGCACTACAGAGACAATTCACTGGTGACCGGCATTTATCAAGCATTGCTCAGTCAGTTCTGGGCTCAGGGATGGTCTCCAAAAACAAACAAAGTGACATGGATATTCTTCATGTGATAGGCACTTACCACTTGAAGAGTGTCATACTTCCCAAAGGCTGTCACAGATTTTCCTCCCATGCAATAGGAAGCTAGAGAGTAAGTGTATAGCTAGCTGCTCTTTTCTCCTTAGGACTAATTCTGTGTGTGTGTGTGTGTGTGTGTGTGAGTAGCTAGCTGCTCTTAGCTAGCTGCTCTTTTCTCCTTAGGACTAATTGTGTGTGTGTGTGTGTGTGTGTGTGTGTGTGTGTGTGTGTGTGTGTGTGTGTAGCTAGAATTTGAACTCAGAGCTTTGTACTTGCTAGACCAGCATGATACTGCTGAACATAGCTGGAACTCTGCTCTTCCTATGTTCATGTGCCCCGAGAAACACAGGACTGTGAGCTCCACAGTCTGTAGAAAATTCCAGTCTCCTAGGACAGGCCTAGCTCCTCAATGGTAGGGGAAGGGCTAAACTCTAAGGGCACTGTATTTCAGGAAGAAGATGAGACCCTAACAGGGTAACTTAGGGAATGAGGCTTCTAACAGAGACTTTGCTGTTTTACTTCAAAGCTCATTTTTTCTATTCTGGAATAGAATCTCTGGCATGGACTCCATCCTCGCGTCCGAGAACTGGGCGTGGTGGATTGGCTCTAGGCTGCCTGTCTCCCACCTGTGCCCAAAGTATGTGAGGGGGGAGAAGGGGGGGTTAGGGGGTGGAGGGGAGGGGCACAGGTCCTTTCTGCTGCTTCCCTAGGCATGGACAGATGGAAGGATCTGAGCCAGGTGACTCCTTTGCTGGCTTCAGGCCCAGCACGTCTACCTGGACTTGATTTGGAGGCTTCTCATTCACATGTGCTGGTAGGAGCTGCCTGGGGTGGCCCACTTTGGGGTTCAGGGTCTGCTGGGGATTGTAGGAAGGTTGAGCCAAGGTGAGTTACCTTGTCACACTCTCGCCTAGCCCCAGCCAGCTGCTTCTTAGGTAAACAGCTG